CAGGAGCGAGCGAATCCGTCGGAGCCCGAGCACGTCAAGGCCGAGAAGGACGCGGCCTGGGCGAAGCTCCAGGCGCGATACCGCGGCCACCAGGAACGCGCGAATCCCTCGGAGCCCGAGCAGGTCAAACAGGCGAAGGCGGAGCAGGCGGAGAAGGACGCCGCCGTGGCCAAGCTCCAGGCCCGCACACGCGGCCATCAGGAGCGAGCGAATCCGTCGGAGCCCGAGCACGTCAAGGCCGAGAAGGACGCGGCCTCGGCGAAGCTCCAGGCGCGATACCGCGGCCACCAGGAGCGAACGAACCCGAAGCCGCGGCCCGTGAAGGAGGCTGCGGCGCCGGATGCTCCCGTCGCGGAAGCGCCGGCTCCGGCTCCCGCGTGTGAGGCATAATCATTACTCGCGAGACTCGCCGTCGCTTGTGACGGGGCGCGTGCGAGGCGGGGGTGCAGTCTTGGATCTTGGGCGCGGCGGCGCGCCGCTCTACTTCACGCTCTTGAACAGGCTCCGGAGGCTCGACGAGCGCTCCCGCGCGACGGCGGCGCGCTTCGTGCGGCCCCGGATGCGCTCGACGAAGCCGCCGGGCTCCGCGCGCGCCGCGGGCTTCGCCGCGGGCCACGTCGCGAGCGCCGGGAGCTTGCGGACCCACTTGTTCGCGCCGCGGCGGCTCGTTGGCTCCGAGAAGCGGTGCGCCACGGGCCGCGTCGAACTCCACTGCGAGGCCTTGGGCGCGGACGAGCACGTCGACGTCGCGGTGCTCGGCGAGGCCTGCGACTTGCTCGCAAACGACCAGGACCGGCCCATCATCCGCCGCAGGGACGTGGCGCTGGACCGCGTCGAGGCCGGCGACGGCGGCGGGTTCTTGTAGCGGAAGTTGAAGCGCGGCGTCTGCCCGGCGCTCAGCTGGCGGAAGAAGGACGGCCGCCGGCCGTCGGAGGTGCGGGGCTCGTCGGCGTCGACGATGGCCGCGCCGGCCGCGGCGAACTTCTTGCGCAGGAGCGAGCGGCGAGGCATCGTGGTTTCGTGCGTGGTTTGTGGTTGGCGCGAAGGCTGCCCGGCAGTGAACGGGAATCTCCAT